GATCCCAGTGCAGGGTGCAGAGGGGGGAAAGGGGAGTACCGGGGTGGGGACACACGAGCTCCACTGCTGTTACTTACAGGAACTCATCAAGCTCAGCCTGCACCCCCTTAATGAGGTCTCTAATAGAGGGACGCCCCCCCCTTTCCCCAAAGGAAAGGAAGGATCGAGCTATGCAGAGGCTCAAAAGCTGTGCCCCCCCCCCCCCATTTTTGGTTCTCCCCCCCCAAGCTGTGGTCCCTGTCAGGTCCATACCGAGGAGGAATCTGCTGGAGGGGACGGGGGATTGAGGGGGGGTGGTGATGGGAAAGGCCTTCAAAATAATACCAGGATTCGGGGAATGGGGAGGAATTGGAGGGCTCCAGTGGGGAGAAGGGATGAGAGGAAGAAGAGGGAGGGAGGGAGGGAGGGAGGGAGGGAGGGAGGGATGGATGGATGGATGGATGGATGGGAGGGAGGGAGGTAGGAAGGAGGAAAGGATGGATGGATGGATGGATGGATGGATGGATGGATGGATGGATGGATGGATGGATGGGAGGGAGGGAGGAAGGAGGAAAGGATGGATGGAGGGATGGAAGGAAGGAAGGAAGGAAGGAAGGAAGGAAGGAAGGAAGGAAGGAAGGAAGGAAGGAAGGAAGGAAGGAAAAGGAAAGAAGGAAGGAAAAGAAGAAGAAAAGGTGGAATAAATGACCTCAGGGATCGAGCTGTACTCGCCAAGCCCCCAAGTCTGGCAGCAAGGGACACCCCTCCTGTTTGCTGCCGGAGTTTGGGAGTCTGGTGAATGGGGGTGTCCCTGTTTCCTCCCCCACAGCAGATCCCTCTTGTCCCCTGTCACCCCCAATGCACGCTGGGGGGAGATGGGAAGCGTCTTGCAACCCAAATCACTTCTATAAAAGTCAAAGCCAGCCTCAGCCTCACGCTGCTGCCTCCTCCGAGTCCTGTTTCGTTCTTTTCCCTAAACCTACGGGAAATAAAATAGCATTTTTCCAAGCGGGAAGAGACCTCCCCCACCCCCCCACCCCCCCTTTCCCAAACTAACTCCAGCAAACTCAATTCCTGCCCTGGGCGTGAATAAATATCGGAGGTCAACAGTAGCCGCTCTCCTTTCCCTGGTGGTTACTTTACTGCTGAGAGGGAATCAGAGGAATCTGCTAAGTGCCAAGGAAACATTCAAATATCTCGGTGTCTGTTTATGTAAGTGCGTGTGTCTGTGTGCCCCCCCTTGGACCGCGCATCCATACATCCATACCCATCCAGGCGCTGCATCCCTGTGTGGGGAAGAGCCATACGCACACAGGCACAGCTCAAGGAGGAAGAGAAGGTCTAATAAATGCTATCGAGATGGAAATAAATTGGGGGGTGTTTAATTCCTGGTCAAACCGTGTTGTTTTGGCTGTAAAGCGGAGGGAAGAGTTGGGATAAGGCGATGATAGAGGATGCATCCAGAGGGAACGTGCTTGTTTTCTTTCTTCCTGCAAGCAGGGAAGGTGGATGGGGAGGATGGATATTCCCAGTTCCTGTTGGGAAAAGGGGTCGCGACTGCCGGGGATGAGAAAAATCGCAAATCAAGGGGAAGAAAAAGAGAAGGAAAAGGGAGGGGAACGAAACAGAAATCGATAACTCGGGATTCAACTCTTGACCGGGAAAACCCAGCTCAAAACATCATTTGATAGCAACGCGCTCGGAGGAGTGGATAATAAATCAATAAAATCAATCCATCAATAGGGTCTGCAGGGACAGGCCGGGGGAAAATGGGAGGTGATGGGCAGAAACTCCCTTCCCCACCTCGGGCAGAAGACAAAAAAGACCCCGAGGATGGGATGGAAACATCGGGTTGCACCTATTCCAGCCGGATTTCCTCTGGCCACCCTCCAATAATCCCTGTTTTTTCCCAGCACCCAGCTGGATGCGAGGAAATTCTATTCCCCACAGTCATTCTCTGGACTTTATTATTTGTTTCTCCCGTCCAATTACGCAGAAAAATCATTTTTTTTCTGTTACGAAGAGCGGTTTCTTATCAGCGCTGCATTGTTTTAATCCCGTCATTGACACAACAGAGGGCTAGGGAGGGATATTATGGCTATTCCCGGTCACACATAGGGACGCGAGCAGCCTCCACGTTCCAATTCAGTGGTATCTGAGCGAAAAACCCCAAATATCCGGAAGAAAAGGCTCCAACCCGGCATTTATTTCTCATGCCCCAACATCCATCACCCGGAGGAAGAGGTCGGAGGGGGAAGGAAAAGACGAGGTTTACATCGGACGCCAAGAACTTTCTTCTTTCTCCCCAATTCCTTGTGTCCCCCCCTTCTCCCCCCGGTGTTTCGGTCACAACCAGCCTCACACGCAGGAGAGCATCCCCTTCACCTCCAGCCAGCTCTTGGGGTCCCCCCAAATCCCCTCTTCCCGTTCGGATGCCTCCAGGTTTTGAGCGATTTCGGGTTATCCCAAAGCACGTTATTTAAATGAGCCTTCCAAGGACTTTCCAGGGGGTTTGGGGTCATGGGATGATGGGATCCAGAGGTTCGGGGGGATCCCCAAAAAACCTCTGCGTGTTCCCAGCTCCACAAGCTTGGAGCTGCCCCATTTTTTTGCACCTTTTCCCACTATGAACGACCTTAATAAATGGGATAATTCTAATTTTTTAGCATTTTCCCCTTTTCCAAGCCCTCAGGACCTGCACAATGCCGGGGGGGGGGCGGCGAGAAGAAGATGCTAAGACCCCAGGGACACACCCCCCCCCCCATAAGAGCCCTCAAGTGGGGACAGTGTCTTTATCCCACCATCGTGGGGACATCTTGCTGCTCGGTGGAGGGATGTGAACAAAATACTGATGATTTCTCACGATATAGGGCCCTATAGAGCCCTATAGATCCCCATCGCTCTATAGGGCTTAGGTAGATGGATCAGGTGAAGGGGGTTTGGGAGCACATTCCCAATGGGATTAAGGGGCAAAATTAATCTCCATCTCTGTGATGGAGACTAAAACGTGACCCCGGCCCTGGTACCAACAGTGGGGTGCTAAACGGGACAGTAAGGGCTGGGGGGGGGGGGGGGGTCGCAAGGCCTCTGCAGAAGAGCAGCCTTCCCCCCACCACTGACACCCACCCTCGGACCATGGCAAACCCCCCCCCGGACACCCCCAAATGAGGGTCACTGAATAAGGCACTTGGAGAAAGGGTTCAAATCCCCACACTGGGTCCCCTGCCAAAAGGAGAAGAGGTCCCAAGGGGCTGCCTTAGGGCTGCTGCCTGGTTTTTGGGGTGGGGTGGGGGGTTGAACCCCTGAAGGCTCTGAAGAGGAAAGGATTGGGGGGTCCCGAGGTGTTTCCCTATGTCATTGCCTCTTATTCCATCCTATCCGCAAAGGTTGTGCCTGCACAGTGGGGCACAACACCTCAAGATCCCTGAAGTGGGGGGGGTCCAGCCTTGGCTGCAAGGGGGTCCCCATCCCTTCAAAGAAGCTTCTGGGAGGGGTTTAGCACCCACAAAGCCCCCCCCCAGCACCCACAAAGAGTTTGCACACACGGATATGTGGGTGTTTGCATGCGTGAAAGGCCTTGCATGCGCCCATGCACTTGTGACAACACGTGCGCGCATTTGCATGCCTGCTGCGTGCTGCACAGGTGGGCACACGCGTGTGCGTTTGCACATGTGTCCATGCCTATGTGGGTGCATCCGCGTGCTGGCCTGTGTGCACACACATACATGGGTGGGCTTGTGCATGGGTGCACACGCATGTGCATTCCCGAGTGGAATTCCCTCCAGACAACTCCTATCACAGTGGGAATCTGCAGCCTCTGCTCCCTGTGCTGCCCCCCCCAATACAACTCCTATGTCCCCCCCCCACCGTAGCATGCCCCCTAAGTGCCAGGCCTGGGATAACACCAGGATGAGGCCTTGTGGAATGGGGGGGGGGGGCACAAAGCTAAGCATCTCTTCACCCCTAGGAGAACAATAGAGGCCCGGCAATTGTCTAGATGGGATGGGAAGGGGGTGCCCCATTGTTGCCAATGGGTCACCCTCCTCATGGGGGGCACTCTGGGGTGGGAGTTCCCAGTTCCCAGCCAGTTGCACTCCCCATTGCCCCCTCAACCCGGTTCCCTTGGGGAGGTTTGATCCTGAAGGCCCTGCCGGGGTACAAGGTGGGTGTCCCAGCACCCCAAGGGGGTCCCTGGAGGGGGTCCCCCACTCCAACTGCCACGTAGACCAGCGAGATGCCCCTTTCCCATACGTGACCTCCAACTTGAGACACCCCCCACTTCACCACCCCCCCCCTTTAGGCGATGATGGGGGGGGAATCCACCTTCTTCACAGATCCTCTTCCTCCCATCATGGGATCCCCCACGGGTGTCATTGGGTCCCCCCATGAGTGTCATAGGGTCCCTCACGGAGCCACCATTCCCCCCCCGTCACCTGCCCCCCCCCCCCCCCCACTCAGGCCCCTTCTCTCTCCATGGACCATTTCTATGTCTCCCCCTTTATTTATTTCAGTTATTCCTTCCCATTTCCCTTCTTCCCATTGCAAATCCCATCTCTCCCCAAACACAAATCCCCCCCCCCGAAAACAACAACCCAACCCCAACAAACAACTCAGGGATGAAACTTAGGGATGCTCCCAGCCTACCCTTAGGCTGTACCCTGAAGGGAAGGGGCCGCGCTTGGGGATGAGCGGGTTACCAGTCAAACCAGTAACACATAGACTCGCCTTGGCCTTATCTCCGCTCCAGCAGCCCTGGGGATGCGAGGATGAGGCGGGGGGGGGGGGGGGGAGAGGAGATTGCTGCAGGATAAGATCCCCGCCTGCAGCATTCCCCTTTGGAAAATTCACATTCCAGCTCGCACGCCATCCCCCCCCCCCCTTTTCTCCCCGTTTTCCCACGCCAAAAGGGGATTTCAGAAAGGTTTCCTAAGAGAGGCTGAGAAATGGGAAATCACTGAAATAGGTGGGGAAAAAAATACTAAAGAAAGGGAATAAAAGGAGTTTGGAAGAAGCAAACTTACGCGGGAGGTGCTGCTCCGGCCGCCGCGCTCCGCACTAAAGCGCCTTGTCCCACTGTCCCAGCATTAAACAGCTCTAGCAGCTGCGATGGTGGACAGTTAAGATTATATATGATGTAAATATATTGTGGGTTTGTCAGCTCCCCCAAACCATAAAACTTAGTTTAATGACATCACGTGCTCCCTGAGAGCCATTCAGGGCTTTTGCTTAGGGCCATCCACATAAATAACCTTCAAAAGTTTTAAACTACTAAATTCGCATAGAAGGCATGAGTATTTCTGCTAATGTTCTGGTGTTCCCGGTGAAACTAAAAGAGCTTTGCTTTCCTCGAGCCAAAAAAAAAACCAAAAACCCATGCAAAACAAAGGAAAACAAAATAATATCGTGGATTTTTTACATATATATATATATATATAAAAAAAAGGAACTTTGGTTGGTTTGTTGTTTTTCTTTTTGGGCCATTTTAAGTTCTCACGGGGTTGACACGGATGGCGGGGCAAGGTAAGTCCTTTTCTATTTCCTTCTTGAGTCTTTGCGAAGGGATCGAGCAGCCGAGAGGGGAAATCAAAAGGCGAATCCCAGGCAGCACCAGCAACAACATCCACCAAACACCCAGCACCCCCCAGATAAATGTCCCTTAGAGGAGAGGGGGGGTGTGGGGGGTGTGAGGGGTGCAGAGACCCCCCCTGACCCCTCTCTCCCCCCCTCCCCGGGGCAGGAGAAGCCCGTAATTAATCATAAGAAGCCGCACTCCGCTCCGCAGGGTGGAAACGTGCAAGTTTGAGGTTTAAAGTGGGGGTTTAGGGGGTGTTTTGGGGCTGGTTTGGGGTTTCCCCCCTTGCCCTGGCAGCTGAAACACGCGTGGTCTGGAGCTGGTTAACCCTTGCCTTGACGATCCCGAGCTGCCTTGACAGCTTCGCGGTGAAAAAGGCTGAAGGGAAAAGGTGTTAAAGAGTGCGAAATGTAATCAGAATCCAAGATAATAACCCAGAGACGCTGCAGTCATCCCGGGGAGAGGGAAGGGAAGACGTTGCTTAAGAGAAAATTGAACGGAATAACGAGCAATTACCAGCACACGCCAAGAGGGTTTTTGTGCCTGAGCAACCAGGCAAGAGATTTACACAGCGTGGGGAAGGAATAAAACCCGGAATATAGATAATGGTCATAAAAAGAAGAGATGATTGGGATGGTTCCCCAGCCCCACTGAAATCACGCCAGGCCCTCCACGAGTGGGCAAGCACTGGTGTACAGAGAAATACGCGAGGGGAACCTTGCTTGCTTTTGCAGTATTTCACCCCAAATGACAGTGGAGAAGGGGGGGGGAAATGGGTGAAAAGAGGTGGTTTTTTTTTCACTGTTAAGCGACACTCCAATGGAACATCTTTACAGCTCGCAACTCGCCAAGCAACCAGACCCCCACCAACCAAGGGTACCAACCATTAAACGAAGCCCCCGGAGCTGGGAGGGGTGCCCTACTTGAGCACGCTGTGCTAATTGTACCCCTAAAAAGCCCCCCGAGCCGCTGCTGGCAGCAGCAAACTTTTGTTTTGCCGGGTCAGGAAATTGTTCCGTTGTTTCCCGTGTGTAAAGGAAATCCTATAAAGTTTTATGGGGCTTCTTGGCTTCTCCCGGCGTTTGTTTTCGCCCGTAAAGAGCTGCGAGACACGGGAGGAGCCACCCCGCTTGTCTGGGAAAGAGAACATATAGGTTGAGCCCTATGCAAATCTCAGCTCGTAGAGACACCATAGACGCACCCCTCGGTACACGAGTGGGTTCGGAGGGGGTCCCCCCACCCTCTTCCTCTTCCTCCTCCTCCTTTAGACCCTCCACGATGGGGTTTTTTGTGTGGTTTGGGTTGCTTTTCTTCCCCTCAGCCCCGCGCCTCTGCCATATGGCTGGAGGTACGGAGGAGTCCATATGGACCCAAGTGTTAGCTCCCGGGATGTGTGGATACCCTATGGAAGCGTGTTTCCACCCCAGAGGTAGAGCCCATGTGTTCTGCATTAGGCCCCTCCACCTTAGCAGAGACAGAAAATAATAGATACGTATCTGTATTAATATATACATAAACTCAGATGTATTTCTAACATTATATATATAAATAGTATATGAAATTATATATGATGCTATATTAAAATAAAATATAATTTATATTAAGTAATACCTGTAGATCTTAAAAAGCAATATAGATATACTTAAAAGCCGAAAAGAGGGGTGTCCCTCTTCTCTCCCTGCAACCTCCTTAAGGGGTGGGATGATGATGGGGCCAACAGGGCCTGGTGCCATCACCCAATAGGGTCCGCCACCCCAATCACCTCCAGTCAAACACTGGGACCTCCTCCTCGCATTCAGGTGCTGCCCCGGTGGAAGATTTAGGGGGCAAAAGCGATTTTACCCCAAGTATCGGGGGGAAGAGAGAGGGGAGGGGAGAGGAGCAAGGAGAGAAGGTCATTTTAATCCGATATTCCGATTTAAATGCCATCTGCCATGCGAGGAGCGCAGCCTGCAATGGAAACCCGCAGCTAAATAAAGGCAGATAGACGAGTCCGAGCTGGGACAGGGAGCAGCTCACCTTCCCCAGGGCCCAGCCAGCGCTATAATTAAATCCCCTTTCCCCCCCTCCTTTTCCCAATACTCTGGGAAATAGGAAAAGCAGCACCTACCTTTTCCAGGGTGGGAGGAGAAGGATGCTCTAAGCTCAAGCATCCCTTCCCCCTCCCTGGAAGCTGCTTTGCTTTAAAAACACGACCTGATAACACTTTCAAAGCAACGCTTTGCCCAAAGCAAAGCTGCCCCAGGGCAGGGCGAAGGAGCACGGAAATCTCTGCCCGACTTTTGGAGCGTTCACCGTTTATTCCATATGAGCAAACGAGAGGTTTCATCGCCCTTTCCCAGGCGAAACGACAACTCATAAATACACCGCGTACACCATCGGGGAGGGTTCGGAAGGAAAAGAGGCTCCTGCGGTGGGACTGAATTTAGACAGAGATGTACAAATCGGGGTTTCGCCTTGGGCGCGTTTGGTTTCGTGTTTAATTATAGAGCTTAGCATTTAGCAGATCCACATGAATTACGCAACAAATAAATACACAATAATATGAAGTCCAGAGGGTTGGGGGTTTTTCCCTCCCCCCCCCCCCCCCCTCCCACCCCTCAATGCTGCATTTTCCTGCCCGGAGATTTCAGAGGATCCGTGCAAATCAGTGTCCATCGTGTTCCCCCCCCCCCCCCCCGTCCTTATCCCCCTCCTAAATCTATTCATTTCTTTTATATGCAAATAGTAATAAAATGATGCCATCAGTGTCCCAAGGGAAGCGCAAACACAACCCCCCACCCCACCCCGGCCCCTTTGCGGGGTTCAGAGGTGCTTTTTAGGGGTTCCCAGCCTCAGCTGGGGGCAATGCTTCCCCTCCCGAGCAGAGAGGGGAAAACCAGGGGCCAGAGCATCTTCCCTGCGCAATTCCCAGCAAAGCGAGCAGAGGTTTCCTTCTCCCATCAGGGCGAGAGGAGAGCGAAGCCGGGACTTTATAAACTCACCGGGTTTAGGGCTTTTTATCCCCCCCCCCCTTTTCCCTTTTTTGCCCTTTTTCACCAGCTGCTTTCTCATTTTCCCTCTGAAAATCGCGATTTTTAGAGCTGAGAGGACACCACCAGCCACCCCGCGGATTCCTCTTGAAGCTTTTTTGGTTATTTTGCCCTTTTCTTGGCAATTTCCCCCCCAAAAACCCATCGCACAGGTTAGGACACTTAGTAGCAACCCAAGGAGCCATACACTAAATCTTCGCATGAAGCTAACAGCGGGGTTGGAGTTTTCCCCCCTCCCTCCTTATTTTTGCATACTAATAAGAGATCTCCTTTGTCTGAGGGATGCGTGAGGGTAAGGACCAGAGTCCAACAGCAGCTCCCTCCCTCCCCACCCCAAAAATCAAAGTTTCCACCAGAAGTGATGGGAAAAGGGGGGGGGGGGAAGGCGAAAAAAAGCATCAACAAGGGAAAAACCGAATCAAATCAAAGCAAGGACCCCCCCCCCCCCCCCATCTTCTGCAATCCCACCTAAAGAGCCTCTTTGCTTTTCAACTTGGAATCTTTCTTCCACTTCATCCTCCGGTTTTGAAAACAGATTTTGATTTGCCTCTCGTTCAGGCAGAGGTTGTTGGCGATCTCAATGCGCCTCCGCCGCGTCAGGTATCTGTTAAAATGAAACTCTTTCTCTAGTTCCAGAGTTTGGTAGCGGGTGTAGCTGGTTCCATCCGTTTCTGAAGGGGGGGGAAAAGACATAAGAATAAAGGGCAGACACCGCATGGAAAAGAGAAGCAATCTGGGGTGGCTTTTAAATCGGTTTATTTATGGTTTCTTTATACGGCAAAACCCGGTTACAAATCTAGAAGGTACAGAAGTTTGCTGCGGGCACGCAGGGAGTGGAGCAGCCTCAAATCCTTCATCCCCCAACACCTTCAGCCCCCCCAAGTCTTCCCCTTTCCACCTCCCAAAGCCCGGATCAAACGCATGTAGATGAGCCAGAAGTGAACCTGTTTCCTCTCGGACAATAAGGAAGTGGACAAAGGAGGGAAATATCTTTTCTTGGGGATCTTGTCTTTTTATTCCACCCCCCCCTCCCCTCGCAGCCCTGGGAAGGTGAAGGGGAAAATCTCTCCAGGCTTTCCCTTCACCTTCGCTTCTGGTGCCTCTTCTTTCTTAAAGCTCACCCTCAAAGAACATGTGTATTTCCAGTTATTTTTTAACCCCCCCTCCCAAAAAAAAATGGAATATTGCCTTTTATACACGTTTTGTTTCTATGATCCAATTATGCCGTCATAAATTTGGGCGTCTATAGCCTCTAAGCCTTTTAGTGGACAGTTTTACGAGCAATTGATGCCTTAGTCGTAAAATTTACGACCTCAGGTTTTTTATTATTTTGCCCGTATGGCCTATAAAACCCAAGGCAAGGGGAAAAAAAAAATAAAAAAAGGGGGGGAAAAAAAAAAAGATAAGAAAAAAAAAAGGTCCTGTGAAACAAAAAATCAAGAAGTGAAAGTTTTACCATGGCTCATGTGCAGTTTGGTCATCCAGGGGTAGATTTGTGGAGGTTGGTGCTGCCTGCTGCAGTTGGGGTCCTCCTTGCTGGGCTGTTTGCACCGGCTCGGCTTTGATTTCACCCGAGCTCTTAGATCTCTCCTCCAGCGCCGGGTTAGCGCTCTTCTGGTTGTAAATCCCGGGATTTAGGGATGCTTGCTCGTCTCTGGCTAAAGGATGCCCTGAAGAACCCATGACCGTGCAAGAAGGTCGCTCGGGGTTAGCTCGGGGGGCTGCAGACATATCCGAGCCCAGGGAGGCGGCAGCCCCGGCGGAGGGGAGGGCGATGCTCGGGTCCGAGCCGCTGCCGCGGTACCTGGGCGGCGGGACCCCCGGCACACTTCCATAATTTCCATAACTTTGCAATGGCATAGGCAGGAACGGGGGGACTTTGCTTATAAAAACGAATTGGCGACGTAAGAACTCATGGCGGAGGAGGGGAGGCAAAAGAAATAATAAAAAAGAGGGGGGGGGAATTTGGGAGGGGGATCTTTTCCCTCTTCTTTTCCTCTTTTTTTTTCTTTTTTCTCTTTTTTTTTTTAAGTTTCTTCCTTTTTTCTTCTCTTGTTTTTTTCCTCTTTTCCTCTCCTTTTCACCTTCGATATTTTTAGCCTTTTTTCCCCTCTTTTTTCTTCTCTTTCCCTTTCTCTTCTCCTTCCCTTTCCTCTTTTCCCCTTCTCTCCTTTTTCCTCTTTTTCTAATCCTTTTTTTACTCTTTTCCCCCTTTTTTTCTCCTCTTTTTTCCCTTCTATTTTTCTTTTTTTTTTTTTCCTCTTCCCCCCCCTTTTTTTTCCTTTTTTTTTTTCCCAACCGCTTTGATTTAGGGTGATTTGTGTCCCTTTGAAGTTCAGGGGTGGGGGGGGGCCGCGTTTTTTGTTCCTCCTAAAGTGCAGAATTTATAGGTGGGGGGATTCTTCCCTTCTTTTTTTTTTTCACCCCCCCTCCGGTTCTCTCCGCGCTGCCCAAATATGGGATATTTAAGTGGCGTCACGTGACGGCGCCGGCCACTCATCCATTTCCCGTGATGACCCCGGGGCGGGTTATCGATGGGCGCCCGCGGAAGGCGCCGGGGGTGCGCGGGGGAGCGCGGGCGGAGCGCGCTGCGGGACGGCGAGGCGGCAGCGGCACCTAGCGCTGCTCCGCGGCACCGCACCGCTCCGCGCCCCCCGCGGAGGGAGGGAGGGTGGGTGGGTGGGTGGTTGGTTGGGGGGGGGGGGGGAAGGTTGGGGAGCTCCCTCCGCGCAACTCTTTGAAAGCCCTTTTAAATAGACCGCGATTCCTGCGCGCGTTTTTTTCTTCCGTTTCAAAATAGCAGCTGTAAGGGAAAATTAACTCCCCTTTTTTTTTTTTCTTTTTTTTTTTGGTGTTTTCGTTTATTTTTGCCTCTCTTGCCCCTGCTGCAGCCAGGAGGGGAGGCAGAAGCAGCGCGTTCCCTCCGCGGCATCGCGGATCCCTTATATTTGAAATGAATTCATTCTCAACCGCTGGCTGGGCAGGAGGCAGCGCAAATCCCCGCGCTCTTTGCCGAGCTTTTGGGCACGGTGGCGGCCGGGGACGCTCCCGAGGGTTCCGCAGGGGCTGCTTCTTGGATGCGCCAAAGTTTACATTCCTGTTACCTTTCCCCCCCCCCCCCCCCTTTCTGTTTTTGGGCGATTTATTGCTGCCAGAAGCCTGGATCTTCCTTGTCTGCTGCTGCCTGGAGAAACCAGCCCCTCTCTTCAAAGGGCACGGCGGAGGGGAAATAAATACCTTCAAATCTCTATTTCCAGCCCTCCTTCTGCTGCGGATTGGGGAGGGGGTGCGTGTGTGGGGGGGGTGGTGAAGGGAGGACGGGCCCCCCCCCCCCCCCCCCCAGTCCGCTCTGCGCTTTGCCCCGCGGACCTGAGTGCGGTTTCTTTCTATTCCGTCTCCATTCACCAGCCAGAGAATGCCTTGAATGCGCTGGGTGTTACATATCGCCTTCCTCCTTGCTATAGGCGCTGAATTATATACGTGTGGCTCTGGAGATATGTTTGAGTTTGTCTTTTTTTTTTTTTTTCCCCATTTCTTTTTTTTTTGTCCTTTTTTTCCTTTCATTCCAACTGGTTTACACTCAGGGAGCCTCCTGCTCCCTGCCCAGGGTCGTTACCCTCTTGCAAAACGCTCTTGGCTGCTGCTCGTTGCTGCTGTTGCTTGTTTTCTTCCCTTTCAACAGACATTTTATGGGGTGTTTTTTTGCCGTCTTTCCTGCGCCTTGCAAAAATCGCCTGCACATTCCAGGCTGGAGACGAGCAAAGGATGGGCTGAAAAACCTCCCCAGGCTGCTTTTTTTTTTTGGTTGTTGGTTTTTTTTCCTTCTTTTTTTTTTTTTTTCTTTCTTTCTCCTTTTTTTTTTATTTTTTTTTTCCTGGTTATGGCCACTTAGCACCAAATCCTGGTTGTTTCATTCAAAATATCTCGAAGGGAACTAAGTTGCTTCCAGGAGAATATCACCCCTGGTTATGCGCTACTATTGAACAGCCCAGTAAATATGAGAGCAGTGACCAAAGAGGCGAGAGAAACGCAGATTTCTTTCATCCAGCCTTCGCAATGGTTTATCGAGCCTGCGATCCACAGCAGCAGGGTTTGTTTCCCCAGCGTTATATCCACAATTTCCGTTCTCCTAAGGATGACTTTCTGGATTAAAGTAACTCCCCCCCCCCCTCCGGAAAGGTTTATTGGGTCGAAATCAGTCGGGGGAGAGGAGGGAGGCGCGGAGGTGGGGGGGGAGATGTGGGTCCTCCGCAGAGCTGGGGGAATCTCAGCTGCGTAGAGCTCAGATGAAATCAAAATAGCCATCATAAAAAAAGAAGCAGAACCTTTGACCTGGTGTTTGACTGAGGAGGGTGCAATAAGAAATATATACTGGTTTGAACTTTGGAAATCCATTTTTAATCATGACGCGAGAGGTATGGCATAGATTCCTGATGCCACCGAACAATACAGTAACAAGACCAATTCAAGGAGACAAAGCAAAATGTATTTCCCCCACACCCCCCCTTTTTTTCTTTCTTTTTTTTTTTGGGGGGGGGGGAATACTCTTGATAGAGAGAGGGACGAAGGAGGGAGAAAAGGAGAGAGGGAGCTGATGCTTGCTTTTTCAGGAACAACACACAGAAGATAAGTGAACTTTCTAACAGGCTGTTCTCAACACGCAAGGTTTCGACTGAAGCTCAGAGGCCATTCTATAAACTTTAAAAATAATATTCAGCTTTTATTAAATACTCAACATAGTCCTCTGGACATGACCTTTGTACATGAGGGTGTAACACAAGAATTGATTTAATTCTCCTTTTTTTTTTGTCTCTTTTATTATTTCTTTATTATTTTTGTTTCCTTCCTTTTCTACCGCTATAGAACTCATTCACTTTATACCGTGGAACATTACAGTGCTAAACATAAATATAAATACAGGTACCACAAACACAGTTAAAAATATTCATACAGAAACTGTCACAGTTTGTAGTATGCAGCGATGAGCCCAGGTATCTGCTTAAATACAAGGAGGATGCTCTTGAAAATGCGATATTTAGGTGGAAAAGAGCTTGGGGAAATGACAGAGGAGAGCTGCTCTGCTGGGGGGGAAGGGCGACCCTGGGCAGGGCCGACCCGGGCAGCGGGGTGGATGCCCAATTTTTTTTGGGGGGGGGGGGTGGTGGTGGTGGTGGAAGGAAGGGATGGGAGAGGAGGAGGAGGAGGAGAAGGGGGGTGTGGAGCGTGTGCGGCTTGAAACAGTCTTATCCCGAGATAGATAAATAGGCGATGGCGAGATGGGTGTGCGGGGGATGGGGTCACTGGGAGGGGGCTGTGTAGCGAGGGGGGGGGTGTCCACATTTCCACCTTAGACCTTAATTTTTTAACACCCCCCCTTTAATATTATTTTTTTAATAATTTTTCTCCTTTTTTTTCCTTTTTTTTTTTCTTTTTTTTTTTTTTTTTTTTTAACGTAGCCAAACATTGTGCCAGTGATAAATACGGGTCTGGAGGGGGGGTTGGAGGGGAGTGTGTGTGTGGGGGGGTGTCCTGCCGCCGAGCTGTCACTTTTTCACTCCTTCTGCTTCTCCTCCTCTGTCTCTTCTCGCTTCTCCTCCTTGGCCAAGCTGTCGGCGGCTGCGGCGGCTGCCCCCCCCCCCGCCCCGGAGAGGGTTGAACTCAAATTACTCTCTTTTTTCCATTTCATCCTCCGGTTTTGGAACCAGATTTTGATCTGCCGCTCCGTCAGGCACAGAGCGTTGGCGATCTCGATCCGCCTTCGCCGGGTCAGGTACCGGTTGAAGTGAAATTCCTTCTCCAGCTCCAAGGTTTGATAACGGGAATAAATCTGGCGGCCCCGCCGGCGGTCGGCCCCGTAGCCCACTCCTAGGGATGCCGAGACAAAACAGACTAAAAATCGTCAGCCCGGGAGAACGCGGAGGGCGGAAAGGGGGGGGGGGGGGGGCGGAAAAACCACCCCGCACCCGCGCAACCCCTCCGCCCCTGCGCAGCCCCGCGCCCGCCCCGCTCCCCCTCCCCCCCTTTCCCAGCACCCCCCCACACTATAAAAAAATATTAAATATCTCTTTTTTTTTTTTTTCCCCCAATTTAATTAACGCAGCGTTTTCTCCCGGGTCATTTTCTCCGGGGATGCTGCTCCAACACCCTCCCCCCCATCACCTTTTTCTTTTTCCCACATTATTCCTGCCAATTGGAAGATTTGAGGGGGGGGAGGTGGGGGGGTGGATGGGGGAGCTCCCCCCCGGCCCCACTTTCGTGCGGGGACCCCTTCCACCGCCTCACTGCCCGCACCCGTCATTAAAACTTCTTTTTACCCCGCTAATGCATTAAAACTTATTTTTACCCCGGTAATATTTTGTGCTTAACTCCCGAGCAGAGCTCGCTGCACTTTATTATAGATATTTTACACTCTCGAAGTCTTTTAATTAGAAAGAGCATAACAAGCCATATTTGCTTGCAACAACTTAACAAATAAAAGGCCTGTAGCTGCAACTGTGAAGGAGCTATATTATTGTTTTTATGGGGCCATAAAAAGTCGCTCAGCCTGTTCTGCTAGGGAGAAGGTCGTAAAGATGGTTCAGTTTATTTAATTTATATCTCCGAGCTGTAAAACTTACCACTGTGGGAGTTCATACGCTGCATCCATGGGTATATTTGAATGCTAGTTTTTTGTTCTTGCGAAGTGTTCCTGTTTTGGTCACTGGTAAAATCCTGTGCGATTGATGTCTGTGTATTATGTCCCATAGAATTTTGCCTGCAGCTAGAAAGCATGTCTTTTTCTTGGTAAAAAGCATTAGATCCATAGTCATAAGGTCCTCGGCTGGAGCTAAACACAACATTATCTTGCGGTGAATAAAAAGGAGAAGAATAAATCCGGTTTTGAGCAACGGCTGCTCCATAAGTAGAAAAATGCCTGACAGGGTCATAGGCAGTTGAATTGAGGGCTACGTTGGGAAGCACCTCTTGGCCACTGGTTAGATGGCAGGATAAAGATGGGTTTGTAAAATAGGAATTCATATCGTCCTCTACACCTGGCTGTGTGATTTCTTTAATATTTATTTCTGTCTCCAGTTTGTAGTCTGAACTAGATTGTTATAGGGAAGGCTCTGCTCCAGGACAGACAAAATGACAAAGTCAGCTGACCCGGGGGGAGCCAATGGGGAGGCGGGTGTCAAAAAGGGAAAAAATTGCTTTTGCTTCTGTTGATTCCCTAGTTGAAACTAAGTGGGCATGGAAAGTAAGTCCTGCACCCCCAAACCCCCCCCAGCACCCCCGGGGCGCCGGGGGTTGGGGAGGATGCGGTGGGGAGGGGAGCGCTCCTGGGCTGGGGATCCTGCTTGGGGCTGAAGGGGGGAAAAAGGAGGGGGGGGGGGGGGCAAATTTCTTAAGCCAGGCTTAACTTTTCCCTCCCCCCCCCCCTTTTCTCCTTCACCCCCTTTTCTGCTAATGGTCACTGAGGTTTGGAAGCACCGTCTGTGTGCCTGAGCGTTATGGGGCTTGCGCTTTGGGGTTGTGGTGCGTGTGGTGGTGGTGTTGTGTTGGGTGGGTTGTTTTAAGCAATGTTTGCTTAATATCTTGTAATAAAATAGCTCAGAATTCACAGTAATAAATCTCAGATGTCCACAGAATATTAAGCCATAAATTACCCTCTGGGTTGTTTTGGGTTGTTGTTTTGTGTTGTTTTTTTTTTCTCCTTCTCCTTCTTGTTCTCATGTAGCATTGGTCAATATTATGGAATCAAACGGTTGTGTTCCTGATGAGAAAATATTCCATAAAGAGAGGGGGGAAAACATGGCGACTTCTGAATTGATAACGTGTTTCAGAGCCTTCCCAAAGTGTGTCTTGGGGAGGGGAGAAAGGGGGGGGGGGGGAAAGAAAGACATCCAGCAAAGCAACACCCAACACTGCAAACTCACGTTTAGCCTGGAAGTTAGATTTCTCCTCGAGTTTGACATTTCTCCCCTCAAACGTTTCCCTGTTCATTCTCAAAGCTGGAGGGTATTTACATTTTCAACTACAACAGCAGCAAAAAAAAAAAAAAAAAAAATACACCAAAAGAGGAATAAATGCAATAAAAAAAAAATAACCAGAGCGTTTCTGTTTGGAATGGGGAGCCTGGGCTGGGGACGCAACCTCGTGTTGGTGTTTGCAGCAATTTATAGTTGCAGATATTTACAACTGATTGGGAAACTTCTCCTGCAAATATTTAGTTAGATGAAAGGGAGGATTCCACCCTATCTTCTCCTGGTAGATTGCACCTAGACCTAATTGAAATGAAGACAGCTAATCTAATTTTAATTTCAATCCAGAGCCATAAATTGCCCCTTAAATGTAAAACATACCTGCTGATCTGTAAATATTGCGAGGTATCTTTATCATTCTGGTGGCTTGCTATTTAAAAATGCAATTATGGCAGGGAAACCCTGGCCTCCTCTCTGTTGTTGCTGGGGGTTTTCTTTCAACCTCCATCGTGTCCACGTTTTCATTTTAAGCGGGGGGCTGGGGAGAGGAAGGTTTGTGGGTGCACACTCCAATTCAAACCTGGGAGTTATTTGTGTGTCTTCCTCTCAATCAATAGCCTTAATTCCTTTGATTTTTTTTTTTCCCCTTTTCTTTTAGCGATGTATCCCTAAAAGATTTTAGCTGACAAAGAAGGGTTGGGGGGCGGTGGGTGTATATTTTTTTTCCCCAGCTATAACAGGAACCCGGATGCCAACGGATTTTATGCTCTTTTTCCTCTGTGTAACAAAGCAAAGTAATCAATGGTAGCAATAAAACCATAAACGAGACTACAACTGAAAAAAAAAAAGCTCGTGTATTCATCTTCTATAACGTTAAGGCTTCCCCTGAGTGTCACTAGGGGAAAAAAATAAAGTTTCGAACCAAAAAAGGGGAGAGCTGGAAGTGTGCACCATCTTCTTTAGCATGGGGAGCTCGCTGGCTCCCACCTAGGGCTGCCCAACCTGGAGCAGGCACAAGACTCATCTGCATGGGGGGAGATTTACAGGCGGTTCCCCCTCCCCAAAAAGCGAACTTCAGTTTGCTTTCGTTTCCCTTTTCTCCTTCTCCTCTTTCCCAAGAACCCGCCCGGGCATTTCTGGAGTCAAAGAAAGGCGAAAATAAAGAAACTAAGAAAGAAATGTGATTACTGGGGGGGGATTATTATGGCTATTTTGATTTTTTACTGCTTTCTGCTGAGATGTGAAACCCCCACCCGATGGGGGGGGGAATGGACAGAGCTGGGGAGCAAAGGGGCTGCTGTAAATACAAGTAGCCATGGGCACCTCTCCTCTGAGCCCAAGCCCTTTCAGAGCTGGGTTTCTTTGGAAACCACTGACCAGGCAGGCTCCTTCCAGATATTAAATTGTTCCAAAGGTCCAACAAATGGGCTGGAGGCAGAGGAGAATGGATGAGGGCTCTACAGTTATTGGCGTGTTGTCTTACCTTATGTATTGCTTACAGCCCGATGTAATTTGGCGAGTAAATTAAAAGGAGCTACAGCTGGATGGGTTGGACCTTTGGCTGGGGGGAGTTGTACCTATGGAAGGGTATTGATACCCTCGCCAAAGTTTGGAGGAGTTCCTTTGAGGGGGGGTTCTTTTTATTTCTCATTTTTATTTTTTATTATTATTTTTTTGCCCCCCCCCCCTTTTTTTTCTTTTCTATTTTGTGTAGGTGCTCGGGGCTGTTGTATCGAGAGACCTGTGTGATAACCGTGTGACTAGGAGTCGAGAAAGTTAAGTGTTTTATTACTTCTCTAAACAGAGGGCAAGTCTTAAAAGTCTGGTCGATTTATAGTGAACAGAAACCAGCTGCCGTAAAGAAACTTAAAATAGAATCCTCTCCCCACGCTAAAACCCAGGTTTCTGGGGAGAAAAGGCAGAGAGAGAAGAGGAGGGGGCTGAAAAACAAAAATAGAGCAGAACCACCCCAAATACAAATGAGGCATCATTAAAGTATGTTTTCCTCATTGCCTCACGTTTTGAATGCACTGGATCTGTATTATTTTTTCCCCCCATTGATATTTTCTAGCAGTTTGGGGATTTCTCGAAAGTATTTCATCAAGCTGTGTCACTACCAAAAAGGTATTTATTTTCTCCCCCATGAAAACATGGAGAGGGAATATGTGGGGCGCTTTCTGGTTAAATTGGTCTGCAAACAATTATGTAAACTCATCAGCAGAAGCAAGAACAGATGTTTTATTAAAAGTGCTACACAGCAGTAGAAATATGTACAAGTCTTCGAGTAGCTCTTTAATAGGAGTTGCTCTTTGTTCCCAGAAAAGAAAAGCGCCCATAGAAATCCGAAATAACATTCACCACTCATAAGCTATATTCTTCCCCCTCCCTCTTCTTTTTCTTCCCTCTCCCCCCACTGATGCTCACACAGAGAAAAAAGGGGGGGGGGCGGGGAATAAAATAGAAAGAAAAACGTGTCGGGAGATTTCCTTCCCCCCCCCTCCCGCTCCCAGCTATAATTTGCGAATTGATGAACTGATTTAGGGGAAGAAGAGGGGAAAAAAAAAGGGGGGTTAAGAAAAAAAAAGCGATCCCAACACATGTGTTTTCTATCCCTCAGTAATTACTGAAAGGAAACAAATCCAAATCAGTGTGTGTCCCCCCCCTTTCCCCTCCCTCTCTGAACCGCCTGCAGACACCGCTACTGGCAGCGGGGGGGGTGTGTGTGTGTGGGGGGAGCCTCTTTTCTTCCCTTCCCAGCCACGTTGCCCACTCGGGGCTGATCCCTGCGTGGGGCAAGTGATGGGGCTCCACACACCCCCTCCCCACACGCGTGTCATAGTAGGGGGGTGGGAGGTGCTCACCCGCTCAGGGGGTATGGATCCATTAACCTCCCCCCCTTAAAAATTCCAATGATTTAAGCAGGATGAGTGGGTTTTGCTGTAAACTGTCGCAAAAATGCATCTTTGGCAATGCACTGAAGGGGGAACACCCTTAATCTTGACCCCCCCACCCCTAAAATACCCGCACCTATGCGTGTGCAAGGCCCATGCACACACACACATACATACACACATACACATCCCCCCATATGGCCCTAGGGCTGCGCGCTCCCATCTGATTAAATCCTCGAAGCTCTTAGAGGTAAATACAAGCGATGCCATTAAAAGCCTTTTTATTTAAACTGATTTCACCTTGTATCTGGGATCTCTGCCTCCCCCCCTCCCTTTTGCCTTCCTTTCCCCCCCCCCCCTTTTTTTAACTTGACATTTATGGCACACGTGAGTCCTAATTATTTATTTGGGTCTTTCGCTGGGAATTTATCCCTGCTCTTTACAACAGGGTTTTCCTCCTCAAATATCGCTCTCCTTTTTTTTTGCTGGAAATAGGGCTTCCGAATCAAAGAAATCCAAAATAAAATAGGGGTAACAACACCCCCCATAAAAAAGGAAAAGAAGAAAAGGGGGGGGGGGGGGAGGAAAAAGGGCAACAACAAACTCGTGGTTTATTTACCTCTCCCCAGCCTGAAATGGCTTCGCATTGTTTTGGAGCCGTCTCTATTCTCTGTAATTACAAGCCCGGAGTCAGAGTCTGGGCAGCTCTTAATTAAAAAGAAAAAATAGGAGATGAAATCTCCCTTTCCTCTGGATATTCCTTATCCAGCGCTTCGGAGCCTATTTAAAGTTTGATCCCTTGCTGCAGACACCGCGTGGGGAAGAGGGCGGCCTATTCGGGGAGCTTTATTTGTTGATTAAAAGGCATTTTCCGCAGCGAGATGCACAGGGCCATAATTCGCGACAGCACCCACTTTCCCCCTAGAGCTCCCCAAGAAAAGAGGCTGCAAAAAGCCACAACCAGCGATTTTTTTGGTATCCCCCCAACGCAAACCGCAGCAACCCCCTTTTTTTTCGCCTAGGTGAATAAAGAAGAGTATTAACCACCCCGTGCACCGCCCGTAGGGTTGCCCAGACGAGTCATTCCTTCGCCTTTTCCTATTGTTGTTGTGGTTTTTTTCTTAGCTTTTCTTTTTTTTTCCTTTCTTTCTATTTTTTTTTTTTTTTTTCCCCAGCGTGGTGAAGGGAAATGGCCTTAAACGTGTTCTTGTTGCCTCGATTTTATTCCCCGAGTTGCTTTGGGGAAAGTGCACCAAAAGTTCAGGGCGACTCCCTTCAAGTTGCCAACGCTTAAGAAAAAGGGAATATAATAATGATAATAAAGGGGGGAGGGAAAACAAAAATAAAGGGGGGGTTTCTCGCTTGCGAAGCCTCTCCGTTGCTGCGCACGTTTGCAGGGCTTGGAAGGGTGGAAAAAAAAAAGGAGAGAATTCTGGCAATTGTCAAAACACATGTCTGCTAACCAGGAAACCGGGAGGTGTGTGGGGAAGAGAAATTAATCTGTTCCTACTTCTGAAATGTATCCCTCTTCTTTCTGCCCAGGCTTGAAAGCGCTTTTTGACCCTTTCAAGCGTTTATTTGCGTTATTTCCCCCCCCCCTTCGCGTTTACATCGCGAGGAGTGGAGGGGTTTAATCCCCAAATATTCTTGTTTTTTAATGGAGTGGGGTGGTGGGGGGTGGTGGGGGTGGTGATTTATTTCATGATTTTTCTCCTTCCCAGATTTATTGGCGAATCTCAGCCCAACAAAAGAAGGCAGCACCGAAATCTCCCCGCCGAAACGGGACTTCGCTGGGTCTTAAATTACCAAGTAACCACGTTGCGAAAAAGTTAACAGCAGCGGGGGAAAAAAGCCGGGGGAGAACCCCCTGGCCCCCCTTGCCCCGCAACACCGCCTCGATTCTGTTTAATTCTCTGATTAAATGCACTTCGGAATAAATCTCCTCAGGGCTGGGAAGGGAAACCCCCCAAAAAACCGAGGAAAATAAGACTAAAAATCATATTTTAAGGGGATGCAGACCCGCGGAGCGGTGCTTTGTTTATAGGGAGGTGTCTGGCGGCTGCGGAAACATTCCTAGTGGCTCCTTGGTTAAAAGTGGGAATAAATGGGGGTTTTTCCTTCAACCGCATTCAGGAAAAGAGCTTTTTCTCCCCTAAACCCGGGCTAAAACCTGCTCAGGTAGCAGGTAGCAACTTTCCCTTGGAAAATATGAAAGAAATAAAAATAAATCTCTGCTTTTCCAGCTTTTAATGAATGAATGTGTATATATATATTTTAAAAGTGTCTTTTTTTTTCACGCTGGAGTGAAAATATTCCCTAAAATCCCTAAAATTCAAAAGAAGGGGAAAAAGTGACGCAGGCGCTCATGACGTCATACCCATCACGGACACGACTTCATGGCATAATACGCTAGAAAGTGACGTTTTGCTGCATCCAGGGGCACTTCGGGGGTGGAGGGTCTGTACGTGAAGATACGCGGAGGCGCAATTACTTCTGCGGGGTGTTAGAGATTAAAAATCAAAAGGAGTGGGATGTTATTGCGTTCTGCAAGGGTAACTCAGGAGTGAAGAATTGTTGTCATTAACTAGAGGCAGTTTTATCCTTTATTCGTCGCAGATATGAAGGCAGAAATTTAATCATAGGTAGCTCGGAAAAAAAAAATAATTCAGGAAACAATAATAGTTGCCTTAATGATGGTTTTTTTAGAGGCGATCACTTAGGCAGAATTAAACTATATATTTGGAGACAACCTCTGGAGCACTTTGTGGAATTTATACGTTCGCATCGTCTTTAATCGAGCAACAATTTAATGTTTCAGGATTTGCTTAAATACACTCATATTTTCAGGGGGGAAAAGACCGTTCCCGGGTTGATATGCCTTATCTATTTTTATGAGTTCACGTACACTGGGATGATTGAAACCCCGGGAACACGGAACGAAAGGAAATAAAATATGTGTGTATCTATAGAACAAAAACAACCCCCAAACCGCCTTGAATTAGTCGAAAGTGTAAGTGAGGAGTTTCAAACGGCTTCGGGAAAGTTTGGGGCTGGGGAAGGCGGGGTGTGTGGGGGGGAAACACGTCTCAATGTTAAAGGTATTAAAAGTTCTTTGCGAAGTGATTTGGTTTATGGCAGGAGAGGCTTTTGCAGGGCTCCGCACCCCTTTCCTTGGTGGGGGTGTCCTCCTCCCCCCGCCTTGGCCCTATACCACTCCTTCCGTCGCAATTACATCCAGACAGAGGGAAAGGAAAAGGGGGGGGGGGGGGGGAGGCACCAAATTGTGAAGAATTGCAAGTTTCTGTCACTTGGTGGCAGTATACAAAACAAGTAAACAAAACCGGGCTGAAATTTAAACACTCCAAGGGGGTGGAAAGGCGAAGGGAAAGGGGGGCCCCACCTGTGGGACAGACCCCCGGCCCCCCCCTTCTCCCCTTGGACCTTGTTTGGCGCGGATCTTAGGGGGGTTTAGGGTGGGTTTTGGGTGGGTTTCAGTGGTTTTTCTTTTCCTTTCGCCTTGCTCCCTGTCTTCCTCCTTCTCCTCCCCCCCCCTTTTTATTTTTCCCCTCCCCGCCCCCCATTGAAACGCGGGGTCTTTAGTCTGGGGACAAAGACTTTTACAGCAAGGTGTGTCCCCCTGCGACAAAAGCGACCCGAGCAGCCTGTCCCCTGCAGACTGCGGCCAGACACCGCAATTTCGGCATTTCTGCCTTTTATTGTGTTTGT